CATTCAAACAAGCCTCACGCATGAAGGAACTGGCAGAGGAACCCAGGTGTGCAGGACCGGGACCCAGGGTATAGATCTCCAAGCCTGCTTGGCTCGGGACTGGGGCCTCCTTCACCCAGATCCCCCATCTTCCAGTATGTAGGTGTTACACCCACCAACTGCCCCCGGCGCCATGTAATCCCATCAATGGCCAAGACCCAGAGACTCTAAAACCCTACTCCTGGAAGCACGCGGATATCTTATTGTCTAGTTCTTATTCTGGAGAACCTGGCAAGCTACCAAAAGTATCCTATCCACACAGCAGAGACTGGCAAACTCCCTGTGGCGTATTCAATATGCCAAAAACCAGTAACGATGATGGGTCTCATTCTCCTGACCCTGAAAGAGCCTCGAATGTTGCACTTTTTAAAACCTCAGGGCTAGGACGAAGGAGACGTTACTGGGGCCTGCTCGAGGCAATCAATGAACAACAGGATGACAGTGACACAGTGATAAACAAAAATACCACCTTCTATCTGGAGCAAGGGCCACAGGGATTACTGAGTAGCACCAGTGAACATCACTTAAGTGTCTGCCTTTCTTCTACATGAAACTTTCTCCTGATATGGAACCAGAATAATCTTTTTATTTGGGGAACGCACAAAAGATGTGAGTGGAATATTCGTGTAGATTTACTAACTTGTTTTCTATTTTAAAAATCTAATTAAGAATGATCAAACCTGGGGCTGGAGCAATAGCACAGTGGGTAGGGCATTTGCCTTGCACGCAGCAGACCTAGGTTCGATTCCCAGCATCCCATATGGTCCCCTGAGGACTGCCAGGAGTTAATTCCTGAGTGCATGAACCAGGAGTAACTCCTGTGCATTGCTGAGTGTGACCCCCCAAAAAAAGAAAAAAAAAGATCAAACCTTCAGCTTTCTAAAACTGCTTGAAACATTACTACTGTTTCAAATTTATAGTGTTTACATGACCCCAATATTCCAGACGTAGAAACATCTGTTCTGCTTTTAAAGATCTAGTGAACTGGTATCTGGGAATTTTACCCCCTGGCACAGAGCCTTAATGGAAGGGCACAGAGTATACAAAGCCTCCATGTATATACCTTGAGGGGGAAAAAGAACTAGAGATTTAACTGCAAAACTTTGTTTCAGACCAGTTAAAAACATAAAATATAGCTACCATAGAGCTTAATTGTATAGTGGTGATTTCAACTTCTGTATCGAAAGGCAGTTTTTTTCCCCCACTTTCTGGGGATTGGCCCACAGCTACAGTCATATTGGACAGATGTCTTTTTTAACTTGAAATGCAATGCAGAATTACCTATCACTTCATTGCTATGCAGATTGAATATTTTGCATGAACATTAAAAAATGCATGTTTATAGTTTGAACTTCTCATGTTTATTGTTCCCTACTACCAAATGTACTATCTACAGATGGAAAATTCGGTGTCTTTGATGGGTGGTGAGGAATTGTTCGAAAGATCCAGTTAACACACAGAGATGTATTCTAAAAAATGCCAAGAAGGGCTAGATTACACAGTAACTGAAATCTATACAAGAGCAAGCCTCATTTCAAGTGTTTTAGGGATTCCAAATGATCATCCTCAACAGCTGGGTCTGTTCGCATGATTTGGTCAATGGAAAATAATGCCACTTTTCTATAATCCCCACCCTCTCTATTGCCATCTCTAGTGCCAAAACAGGGTGGCATGCTGCCTTACCACGGCTGCTTCTTATTACCCTCAAATGACAGTGAAAGCAGGCAAGACAATCACACAATGTGGCAGCTCCTTTTTATGTTTAAGGATAGCCAAGAAAATTTCAAAATGAGTAGAGTGCTTTGTAGAACTGCTGTACTTTTGAAATGTAATCACTTGTAATTTTTAGGGTGACAACACTGAAATGTTTTATCTTTGGTTTCTTGGGGGGACTTTTGATGTTACACTTGACAGTGCTTCAGAATCATTCCTGGCATGGTTAGGGGGACCATATATAACTCTAGGGATTTGAGCTGGAATTGTCCATGGCAAGGCAGGTGCCTTATCCACTGGCCCTGAAGAATTACTTTTAACTTAAAAAAATCACATTTTTAGATAAAGGAAAAAAGCATACAGAACTTTGTTTTTTGCTTTCTGGTACATACCCACTGATGCACAGGGTTTACTCCTGTCTTTACACAGGAATGACTCCTGGCTCGAGGGACCATATGTGATGCTGGGAATCGAACTTGGGTCAGCTGCGTGCAAGGCAAAAGCCCTACCTGCTGTGCTATAGCGCCAGCCCCAGAATAAATTTCTTACAGAGACAGCCAATAATTTCTTTCATGTATCAGCTAAACCTTTTCCAATCATCACTTATAATTTTTTACCAAAAAATTAAATGTTGTGTATAGAAATTATTCAATCCCAGAGACAAAGTTGCAATACTAAATCGCTTGGTTTAAAGCAACTGTTTTAAGGTTATGTAGTCTAATTGGAGGGGAGCAGCAGCTTCAAAATGGTATACAAAGTTATTTGTAGCTTGGTTTGTACTAATCAGATGTTCTGGACAATGTTTAGTATGATATCCATATAAACACATGCATCTTTAAGGAACGTGAATCATCAGCATATATTTTGAACATACAAAACTGGTCTTTTATAATTCAGAAGGCATCCTTTGTAATTGTGCAGAATCTTATAATTAGTTTTCTAGTATGTCAGTTACGAGGTATAGTGTATGAATGTCCAAAAAAGAACTGCCTTTCCTGTGGACTGAGGTTATGCAACTGAAAATCCTGTAGCTAGAAGAGGAATAAGTATTAACTTCTGGACACATCCTCAAATGAAGTAAAAGTGGTACAAAAAGTTTAAGCTCTATTATTGACAAGATCAGTATTTCCAGATTTTTGTACCCTGCATTTTTATTGCTCAATTGATGAAGATTTCAGAGTATCTATTGAACTCCCCACTATTTTTTATGCTTTTTTAGGGGGCCATATTCTTGGTCTATTCCTGGTCTTGCACTCAGGGATCACTCCTGGCAAGCTTAGAGGGCAATACTGGTGCCAGGGATCAAATCTGAGTCAAGCACATGCAAACCAAGTGCCAAAGTACCATACCCACTCACTGTACTCTCTCTGGACTACCACTGCCGTTTAAGAGATGACATAAATAAGCAAGTAAAAAACACTTTTGGGAAGAAAGTTTATTTCTACTTATTCATTTATGCAAAGACAATACAGCATTAGGTAATAAAAACATACTTTTAAAATTAATTCCCCATTTTGAAAGGTTCAGGACTTTGTCTCTTTCTTACTCTTAAATTCCTCAGTACAACAAAATAACAAAATTTATTCCCTTTTTTTAAGGTCATACTGAGATAATAAGGTCATACTGAGATAATTAGAAGTATCTCTTTATAATTCAGATACCAATTGATAGTAATCTGGAGATTTAATCATAGAATGATATATGAAAGAATGTTGGGGCACACACACAAAAAGTACAGAGAATTTTTGAAAAGGACAAATTTCAGGGTAATTTCAATTTTGAGGCTTAAAAGCCCCTATTAGGGATCCTTCTAATTAAGGTTCTTTCCTTCAAATTTAGTGGAAAAACAATTATGAATTTTAAGACAATGGTGGGCACTGGTGATATGACCAATGATAGCTACATTACATTAGAGATAAATGGGTCCATGTTTTAGAAAAGCACTGATGAAGAAAGGCCAGAAGGTCATTTTAATTAATGTCTACAGCAGGTCAAATGAGGCTAATTCAAGTATTTCTCTTAGAAAGATATTATCCCTTTTTCACCTTTCCAAGATTTAGCCCTCAAACTACTCACACTGATCCTTTTCTTTCCATCACCAGTTCAGCTCTAAGAGCAAGCCTGAAAGAAGGGTAATATAGACAGAAAAAGCAAGACTGTGGGTACGGAAAGGGCCCCGGTTCTATGGTTTGCCACAACAAATAATGTTTAATGAGAAAATTAGCTCATCTAGAAATAGACTGTTAACTATGACTCTTAAGTATATTCCTGGCATATGCTAATCAGACAACTTTTGTTCTCCTACACATATTTTACTTTAAAAAAAGAAAGAGGCTAACAAAAAATCTATTTGCATTTTTATAAAAACAATTTCTTTCAGATACTCTGATTAACCCTAAGTAACATAAAAAAAGTTTCAGCATTAAGACCAATATTTTACACAATTTAAGACACAGCTATTAAGCATTTTAGAAAAAAAAAAAAGAAAAAAGGTGACTATCTCACTGAGAAATTAACTCGTAAAGTTTAGTTTGTTTTGGATTCTTTAAAAACAATTAGGCTCAGCATACTAGTTATCCTAATTATCATCCCAATCGAATAGAATATCTATCTATGAGTGGAATCTAGATAAAAGATGAAGTACTCTGAACTAAGTAAGACCCACTGATTGGACTGCTTGTTGAGAATCTGTTTTACTGGGTTTAGATAAGGAAGACGTCAATAAAACTAAGGATATACTGAGTTCCACTGATTAAAAACGCAGTTTTAAAAGCTCTGCTTCTGTGGCAAATTTCTAGACAAATCATAAATGAAAATACTGTACTTTTCACAGGTATGTGTTGGAGAAATGAAATGCTTGTACTCAAATAATCAAAATTCTGACCTTTCAAAAATAGGTTGTTTTCTAAAACAACTTTTGAAAATCAGCACTTGCTTTTTAGACTCTTTAAAAAGTCAATTTCAATTAAAAGAAATCCTTATATAAAAATGTTAAAGTTACTCCTTTCAGTCTCAATTATGTTTTACTTTCAAACATATATTCAACATGGAACCAGTATCTAAGTAAACATCTAATAAAGAACAACTTCAACGTAAAGTAAAACTAAGCAATAAAACTTGTATAGAAAGTATTAGCATGACTTATCAAAATGCAGAATTCAATTTCTCTAACAGTGAATAACTTTTAGTCTCTTCTTAATACTCAAACCCAGCAACTTCTTGTGAGACTAAAAAGTTAGCAGAGAGGATCAAACAGATTTAAGCACTGCCCGACTTCTTCTAAAGTGATGGACTCTTTTATCCTAGAAGAGGAAAGAAACATTTGTATTTTAACTTCATTGAAAATTTCCTATTATCACTATAACTTAAAAGAATTGCAATGTACTGAAAGCATTTATTTTGATATTTAAAAACAAAAATTCTTTTTCAGAAGCATTCCTAAACTCTGGAAACAAATACATCAACTAATTTTATTCAGCAATTTTGTTTAAAAAAATTAGAACTGTCCAGAACCAGTATCTTTTTATATAGATTCTTAATTGTGTCAGTGATGTCTCAAAGATGGTTTGTAGAAAAAGTAATTTCAAAACCATTGTTTTCCTAAATAAAGTGCATCTGTAGAAACCATAGTTCAAGAACATTCCAAATTTGAATTCCCATGTTTTAGGTGAAAAATAGAAAGTTTTTACATACATAAAGGAATTACCTTTAACTACAAGCACAATTTTTTCCCTTTTAAATTGCACTTTCTATGCAGAATAAACAGCAGGAAACTAAATCTCAACTTTAAATGAGTATGCTAAGGCTGGGGATGAATGATACCAGGCTTGATCCCCAAAGCACCTCCACCAAATATATGTGTGTGTGTGTGTGTGTATGTATGTATGTATGTATGTATGTGTGTGTGTGTGCATATATATATATATAAAAGCTGGAGCACTAGCACAGCGGGAAGGGTGTTTGCCTTGCAAGTGCCCAATATGGCCGACCCGAGTTCGATTCCTCCACCCTTTTCAGAGAGCCCAGCAAGCTTCCGAGAGTATCTCGCCCACACGGCAAAGCCTAGCAAGCTACCTGTGACATATTCGATATGACAAACAGAGTAACAACAAGTCTCAAAATGGAGACGTTACTGGGTACTGGGCCCGCTCGAGCAAATTGATGAACGGGAAGACAGTGACACACACACATATACACACACACACACACACACACACACATACACACACATATACATATACATATATATGAGCATGTTCACTACTTGTTGAAAAGATGGCAAAACCTTAACATTACTATGGGTCTACTTTTACATAATAGGTCCCTTACATACCCTTTAAAATTAATTCATCCTATCCCTGTTCTAAGATACAAAACAGGAGTGGGCTGGGAAGTGGTAGTGGAGGTGGGGAATGTAGTTCAGTGGCAGAATGCTTGTCTGGCATGTATGAGGCCCTGGGTTTGATCCTAACGTGGGGAGGGGGAGGGGACAAATCAATGGTTTCAAAAGAGCCTTTGATGGACACAAGAGATACTACAGCAGCATGAAGTGTGTCTGCCTTATACACAGCTGACCCAGGTTCCATCTCCAGCACACCATAGAGTTCCCCAAGTCTGCAAGGAGTCATCCTTGAGCATAAAGCCAAGAGTAAGTTCTAAGCCCACCAGGTATGGCCCCAAAACGAAACAAATATAAAAAGGCTGTAAAGTGGTATGGAAATTCTAGAAAAATTGTGGCAGTTCCTCCAAACATGAAACACAATTATAAAATTCAGTAATTTCATTTCTATGTACCAAAGATAATAAAATTATTATCTACAGAATAACTCTTATATGGTCTTATTACTTGTAATAGCCCCAAGTAGAAATTAACTCAAATTTTTGATGAGTAAATAAAATGTGGTAATTTGGCATATACAACAATGCTCGATTTGCTCGAGCATTGTTGTATATACCAAATAACCACATTTTATTTACTCATCAAAAATTAAAAGAATAGGTATAAGTTGTACCACTGATGAATCTTGAAATATCAATGTTAAACAAGTCTGTCACCCAAAGACTAGTATATTATTCTACTATATCGGTAGGCCCAGAATGCAAAATCCTTAGATTACTGGTTGCTTACAACTGTTAGAGTTGGAGAGAAATAGGGAGTGACTGTTAATGGGTCGGTTTGATAATTAAAATTGATTGTGGTCATGATTATTTATCTCTGAACACACTAAAAATGATTACACTATACTCTTTACATGGTTGAGTTGTTTGGTATATGATTATTTCAATAAACCTGATCTTAGAAAAATTCTCTTTAGCACAAAATTCTTCCTTTATTCCAAGCCACTAGAGTGACATTTTAGATCCTTTCCATAGTTATAGACACAACTAATGGGATCTTGAAGATAATCCTGTTTAATTTTATATTTGTAAGTACTTAACCATGAGTAACTTGTTTTGGGCAAATACTTTATCCCCCCCACCCCCCAGGTTTTATTGAATCACTGTGAGACAGACAGTGTTTCAACACCCATCCCTCCACCAGGTGTACTTTCCCAACACCAATGTTCTCAGTTTCCCTCCCATCACCAACCCCCATCCAAGCCTGCCTCTATGGAAGGCACTTTTGTTCTGTATGTGTAACTTTTAAGTGATTTCTCCACATCACAGATCATAAGCCAGATCTAAATTCACTACAGCCTCTTTCACTTCACCAATTCTGAATCAATTTGTTTTTTCTTCACTTCTATTTGCTGCTTCTCTTCGCCTTTTATCCTTCATACCCTTCAGATAAAGTTTTATGAGTGACTTCTTCTCTTTAGTTTAATATCCATAAACTCTGAAGTTTTACTTTCTGTATCTGAAAATTTCCTTTCTTCTATTTGGTCAAACCAGTATGGTATTTCAACTTCTTTCATTAGACCTTCCAACTGTGAATTTCTGTAAAGGTTCCTTCTCTCAGAACAAATTATACTCTATCAGAGTTTGAGTGGTATAAATATATTGTCAGGTAAAACAATGATTCACTGGGTTGTCAAATGCCAAGAGTTAAATTATGTTCTCTATGTGATCCTAAAGTATATATACCAGAATTTTGGGGATGTGGGTAACAGTCCTTTCATACTCTGCATGTGTGAGGCCCTTAGTTCAATTATATACAAGCTACACACACACACACACACACACACACACACTCACACTCACTCTAGATGCTTCTAAGATGGCAAATGTGATGTTTATCCTGTATACTCTTTCTTTCATACCTTGAAATAGTCATCTTGAGTAACAAGAGAGTTTCTTGGTCTGTTTTCTGGATTAAATAGACAAGACACTACTGTCTGAATGCTTCGGTCCACAGATTTCTGAAACACAGAGGTTTTAAGTAATCTAAAGACTATTTCTCCTTTTATTCAGTGTTGAGCCACTTTTTTCCAACCAAGTTTGGCTTATACTATTTCTAAAGAATTCTTATGCAATCACAGATTCCTATCACATGTTACTTGGCTTGCAATATTTTTTTAATTTAAGAAATATCTTAGAATCATCTTAAAAAGCAGAATTTCTTACAACTATTATACTTAATGCTTTTAAACTTTTCCTATTAAGAATTAAATGTTTAAAGAATACCCAAAGCTAAGGTTAATTATACTATGAGCTATCAATATTTTTCAAGTTTTAAATCATGAATCAAATCAGGGAGGTTCTACTGAGAAACATATGACAAATTCACACACTCCTTTGGGACTCCTTCACTCATGCATATTCCCAGCAAATCAACTGCTTCCACGTTCTATCCAAGAAAGTTATGAGGCTCCCTATCTGTGGCTCAATGGACAGAGAATGTTCCCAGGCTTGATATCCAGCACCACATAGCACTTCCAGGCCAAGCACTGTTGATATTGCCCTCAAAACAATTTTTAAAAGGGGAAAACAGGAGAGTTCAGAAGGACGGTATTATTAATCTTCTTAAATAGTTTCATGCCATTATTTCTATGATTTTTAGTGTCTCCACTATTTTTTGATCATACCCAAGCAGTGCTCAAGACTTACTCCTGGATCCATGCTCAGAGATCATTCCTGACAGACTTGGGGGATATTACAGGATGCCAAAAGTCATACCCAGATTGACTGTAAGCAAGGTAAATGTCCTACCCACTATACCACTGCTCCAGTCCTGGCTGCACTATTCCTGAGAACTGCTAGTGTATTCAGTGAGGAGAATTCTATGACTTTTAACTATATATTGTTTATCACCTAAGCAAATATTTAAACTGGTAAGAGACAAGATTAATGTCATACTAACTCCCCTTTTCAAGAGTAGCATTCTGAGGAAACCACTGCATCCTGACAAATCCTATTGATATTAAAGAATGATCTAAATAATAAAATAGAAAAGGAGCTCATAATCAGAAGCTGTACATATCAACTAAAAGTTCGGGGTAATCTGAAATTTAATCAACTTCTATACTGTAGTTGAACTGTCAAGTTAGTCGAACTTTGTGATTTATGGTTTTCATAGGTAATTTTGAGCAAGATGCTTCCTATTTACAGGGCCATTATTTAAATAAAACTATAATGCACAAATATTATTAAGCAAAATTAGATGTTTGCCTTTTGCGGGCCATTTCCAGGGGACGGTGTAGCTTCATGAACTGAGCATTCATTTGGCAAAACTTCAACTCCTGGATCAACTTCATTACAGTGGTAGTTAACAGTTGTATAAGCCTACCAAGATAACAGAAGTACAATTACAGAGATGTAAGATATTGTTCTAAATAATCTATTTTTCAAAATATAAGTGATACTGAATTTAAATGTGGGCTGTATTAAAGTTCAATTATATTATTTCAGAAACTTTATTTTAAACAAAAATTAATTGAAATGCAGTAAGGCAGTCATTTATTTTTAAATTACTCCTAGGCTTCAACACAATTAAATTTGAAGTGCTCCCAGAAAAAGAAGCTAATAGAAAGTAGAAGAATGGGAATTTTCCCTTGCTTGAGAATTTTAACTTCTTGAATTATATCCTTCAAATGTCCAATCCTGGGGCCGGGGAGATAGCTCAAGGGCTGGAGTGCATGCCTGGCATACAAAGGCTCCGAGTTCAATCCTGGTACATGGTCCCCCAAGCACCGCTGGGCTCGAGTTGCTTGGAAGGCCCCTCCTAAAAAAAATCATGGTCCCAAATATCCAATTCTGTTGAAAGACAAGGTAACAAAAGCTCAGGTGTTTTAGAGATAGCACCCTCTTTTGTTTTATTCCTTTTCTTATATAATAACATGTCAACAGTAAAACATTCCCTTCTAGCTCTTCAACAAATATTTTTATTGGAAGAAAACTAGATGCCAACTTAAAACTAATTCTAAACCCACAAAACCAGAATAGGCTTAGATATTCATCCTTTAATATTACATCAACAACTGAGTACTTGTATGTAGAGCAGCTATGCTTAAGCACATAAAAACCCCCTAAGAACCAAAAAAGCAGTATCTCCCATGATAGATAGCATACATGTGGGTTGATCAGAAATTAGTGAAACACAATCCACTACATGAGGTATTTTAAAATTACTCTAGTTATACATGATGTAAAAAGGTCAAAGACATAAAATAGCTAAAACAGAATAGCATGTATTTGGTTAATTAGCCTTACCGGGGGAATAACATAACTCCGTTGGTCACCAGCAGGCCACTGTGGTGGCATCTTCAAAAAAAAGAGATTACTTAAATATTGACATTTTAGCTCTTTAAAATTATTACGGTAATAAAAATGGAATGATTTTACTATTTACTTTCATTTTAGAGAGGCTTTCAGGAAAACTCAAGCTTAGTAGTTCTTTATTACTACCCATACATATGGTCATGGGTCATAAATATTGTCACAGCCCTGGATTTAAATTGCTGTTTTTAATAGCCAAATAAACACTAATATAATTGAAGTTCAATGCTCTAACAGTTCAGTAGTATTATTTCAATCATCCTCCTAGAAAAATCTTAGCAAATGAAAAAAATTTACATATTGAAATATAGAAGAGGATGACAAATCTTTAAGACAGTACAAGGGAAAGGGTTTTCCAAGTTCCTTTCTGTAAAAATAACATTCTCTTATTTTTAGGTGACATAAAATCTCTAAGTCTAGACCAGCACTCTTCAACCTTTAAAGCCGGCACCTACCCGTCATGCTGGTTCACCAACCAGTAGCTTAACTAAGACTAACAGTTTCCTATCTTTCTATACCTGCAGACTAACACCACTCTGTGACCAGTGGATGAAACCACTGCTGTAAACTATATTTGTTTCCCTTAAATGTAATTGGGCTAGAGCGATAGCACAACAGGTAGAGCGTTTGCCTTGCACCTGGCCGACCTGGGTTTGATTCCTGTCCCTCTCGGAGAGCCTTGCAAGCTACCAAGAGTATCCCGCCCACACAGCAGAGCCTGGCAAGCTTCCCTTGGTGTATTCAATATGCCAAAATCAGTACCAAGTCTCACAATGGAGACATTACTGGTGCCTGCTCAAGCAAATCGATGAACAGGACAGTGCTACAGTGCTAAATGTAGTCACTCTTAACTAGTTTAAACGACAAGCCACTGGAGAAATTTATGTAAACAGAGTAGCACTGTCTTCCCATTGTCCATTTGCTCGAGTGGGCGCCAGTAATGTCTCCATTCATCTGTCACGTGCCAGTGTAGCCCAATGGTGTCTGCTCGCTCCAGGAACATGAAGTGATTGTTACTGTTCTTGGCAAATTGAATATGCCACGAGTAGCTTGCCAGTTAGGCAAAAACTTACATTCAGTAGACTGGGAACACCTGTAAAGGTGATCAGAGGCCGCCCCAAAAACCTCCGTCCTTGGAGAGCCCAACAAGCTACTGAGAGTATCCTGCCTGCAAGGTAGAGCCTGGTAAATAGAGTATCAGTAAATAATTTTATTTCTTATATTACCTGATAATTATACACAGGCAGCTGATATCCAGTAATAACTTGAACTGGTGAGCTTGGATAAGGAGGATATGCCTGTAAAGAGGGTTTACAAAAATAACTGACAAGGTCAAGTTTTAAAAATTAAAAAGAAATGTCCCTGGGGAGGGCACAATGCATAAAATTATCTCCCTTACAAGCATGAGTTCATGTATTTTACCCAGTACCTTACACATCACCGAATTTGTTGTCTGGAAGTCCTGGTGTGTATGTGACTTCCAGCACACAGCAAAGGCGTACTCAAGTACCACAACTAATTATACATGGATACCTTAGTCAGGAGTGTAAATACCTGGTTAACATGATCACCAGAATGTGCAGGAAAGCACAATTAACTGAGTGCAATCACAAGTGAGCACATGTGTTAAGTACCACAACTAAAGTGAGTGACCCCTAGGAAGCACAACTAAGCATGCAAGCATGAAAACTAAGTGTGTGGTCATCAAGTGTGTGGTCATTAAGAGAAGGGAAGGTGGAGATTGGAGGAGGGAAGAATGTTATTATCATATAATAAAAAAAACTAAGAAATCTTAGTTAAAATATCTAAGAAATCTTACTTTTCTATATACAAGATTTGAACTGAGTGACTGACATCATTTATTCTGCCACATGTTAACCTTTTGGGTGAGGAGGAAAGGATAAACCAATGAGGAATTGGTTGTGCCAATCTAAATGTTTCTTATTTGTATATTTAGGCTCACCCTAAATATACTCACAGGGACGAATGGAGATGTTACTGGTACCCGCTCGAGCAAACTGATAAACAATGGGGCGATAGTGACAGTGATAGTGATAGGCTCACCCAAAAGTTCTAACACTGGCTATAAGGCTCTTACCAAGCCTTTACTATCTCTCTAGCCTGAGCCTGACCTACTTTGAAAAAACTTTCTATCCATAATGTCTCAAATAATACAGGAGTTCCAAGTTCGGGGCAAAGGATGTTGTTCAGAGCTAGAGCACAAATTTTGCATTTATGAAGTCCTGGGCTCAATCCCTGATACCAAAAAGTAAGTGTTGTAGTAAAAGATCTAGTATTTATTTGTAACGTGTGTTCCATTGACAATGTTAAGACACAATGTCTAGTCAATATGAATTCTTCTACACAATTTACAGGAGCTTCTGTATTTAACTTTTAAAATGGCAGTATATTATTTAAAATTAATAATGTCAACAATAGATCTTCAACAAATATTTAATAGAAACACATAATTCTCAACATACACATAATTCTCAACATACATGAATTACGCACACACACACACACACACACACACACACACACACACATATAGAACAGCCAATCGTTTACACTAAATGTTAGATATAAGTAAAGCTACCTTCTGTTTTAGTACAGGAAGATCAATACATTCCAGTAAACTATTAATATGAGCTACTAAGCATGCTAAATCCTGTTTCAAATACTAAACCAACCAAAACCTGACCAATTATATTCCTGATACTCAGAGATGTTAAGTATAATCATTAAAAAACCTATCCATTTCAAAACTGTAATACATCAAATTTACAATCTACATGGGGGGCACCTAGAAATTATTGAAAATAAATAATAGATAAAATAATTGCTAACTTTAGTAAATAAACCAGCCAGGTAACACAAGAATAGTTCAATTTTTCAATTATTTTAGGAATTATAATGGGGGAAAAAGGAAATAGGTAATGTTCTGTGTCGCTACAGATAAGTGACCCAAGATTAGGGTTAATCCTAATTTATGAAAGTAGATTTTAACTTAGAATAAAGAATGATAACAAGGATAATAAATTTCTTAACACATCTGACAGGTTTCCCATTCCAATACTTCAAGAATACTCCAAGTATTCAGAGACATGTATACATATATAAGCTAATATAGGAATTTCATGTATTTCACAGATGGCTCTAAAAGGAGACCATGACCTACATTTTTTTAGGGGTTACACACCTGGCAGTATTCAGCGCTTAGCCCTGATGGGGCACCAGGGACTGAATGCAGGTCAGCCATGAGCAAGGCAAGCATGCTGCCTGCTTTACTATTTCTCTAGCCAGAGACTGACCTACTTTTAAGAAACTTTCTATCCATAATGTCTCAAACAGCATAATTAATGAAGAACAATTCAGGAATATAAGAAATTTTTACCTGAACATACTGAGTTATAGGATTCATCATGGTTGGAGGCTGCATGTAAGTTTCAGTATTTGGGCTACTCCAGACACTCTGAAATTGCGGTGCAGGAGGAGGATTAAAAACCAAAGGACGAGGCTGCACATGATAAGTACCTTTATAAAGAATAAATAGAACTCCATTTAGTTACCTTGAAAAGCAATCATGCATTAACAAAATATTTTTTTCCTTACTCACATAAATTATGTTTCCTGATTGCTGGGCCCAGTTTCAGCTTTTTACCATGGAAATTTATCTGTGACTGCAAACAAGACATAATAAAACTAGAATCAATCTGCAAGTCTTTACTTTCAAAACCTTGGTAAAAACACCAAGTCCTCTACAGTTCCTATTAACAGAGAAGATCAGTGATAAGAACGAACCAAATCAGAATTTGTAAGCATGGAGCTACTTACCTATCCTCACTTATTTTAGCCAAGTTTCAAGAGGTAAATGAAATGTAATCAAAAAACCTTTAAAACCTGTCTCCAAGTTTTGTACCTCTAGTTTATGAAGTGAAATGTCTAACAAGCAGATTCTAGCCTAAGTTTGGGTTTCAAACAAAAAGTATATCTGTTTCAAATCAGAATTACAGCTCTCTTTATTTTATAGAAGACGAAGCATATTCAGAACTCAAACAATAAAACATTGCACACATGTGCTAAATAAGTTTTCTCATAAGACTACTTACTTCTACTATCTTCTGCACATCCACGTCATTATAAAATGAAACAAATCCATAGCTAGAAAAGCAAATAAATGAAGTATAAAAACCACCACCATAACAGTATATATGGATTACAGCTTCCAGTATTCTGAGGTAATTGACAGAAATGATAATAACATTGACATAATGATAAGATGAATATTTGTAATATATACAAAAGATAACTATTATTGCTTTGTTTTCTTATCTGTCAGAGTGATAATAATGATTAAGCAGTATGTAAGCATTAACAGAGAATCTTAGCTATGAATCTAAATTACCTACAGTAGCAAAGTGGTTAAATATAAGATTATATGACATTTTCCCATTCCAAAAGCCTCAATTCTTTGATAAAACCAGTCCATTTAAAAATAAAGATGAGAAATATTTAAATACTAGGAAAAATTTTAGAAGAGCTGAAATATTATAGCTACACCTTTACCCCAACAATCAAGAAATTAAGCAACTTTTATTTATACAAGAATAATAATTTTGAATCCTTTTCTGATTCTCTACAGCTGTATTTCAGATATATTCAGTAATTTATACAGATCGTATTTTACTTACCCTTTGGACACACCAGTTCGATCCGTGATTATCTTTACTTCCTTCACTGAACCATATCTAGCGAAGAAACTTCTAATTTCGGTTTCATCCATCTGTGGAAAAGAATTTGACTTCAAGAAAAAAATAAAGCATTCAAATATCCAATTCTCAATTCTACTACAAAGAAGCTTTAATGATACTGAAGTTATTCCTCTCAACTATCTGTAGCTCTTAAGCCTCTGTAGATCGTACACAAAACCAATCCTAAACTTGAATATGATACAACTGCTTATAAATTTAATAATATTATCACTAAAGTAACACTTTAAATATGGATGAAAAATAAATACAATACCCTAACATCAATTCCACCAACAAAAACGGTGTTTGGCATGATTTTGCCTTCTGGTAAAACATAGCCTTGACTGGTTGTAGCTGATGGGGACTGAGTGCTGGCTTCTCTGGAGATGGCCGAATTTGGAGTCTCAGGATTTGTAGAAGACTGCAATTTGGAGAACAGATATCAACATTGGATGCATAAGTGAAAACTACATGTGATGCAAAGTATAATTTTAGTATTTGAAGCACAAAATATTGAACTGGAGAGATAATACAAGGATTAAGACACTATCCATGCATGCAACTAACCTGCTTTAATCGCTGAAACCTCTATGGTCCCCAAAACATTGCCCAAAGTGATCCCTGAGTCCAGACCCACTAAACACCACCAGACATGTCATCTGCCTTGCACACAGCCAACATGGCCGACCCAAGTTCGATTCGTCCGTCCCTCTCGGAGAGCCTGGAAAGCTACCTAGAGTATCTCACCTGCATGGCAAAGCCTGGCAAGCTACCTGTGACGTATTCGATATGCCAAACACAGTAACAAGTCTCATGATGGAGACGTTACTGGGTCCGCTCGAGCAAATCAATGAACAATGAGAGGACAGTGACAGTCAAAAAATAAAGTAAAAAATATTCTCATTATAAGTTGCTTTAGTTGTAAATTAGTTAACAATACAATTTAGGTGGTTCAGAATTTAAAGCAGAGCATGTCATCAAAAATTTTAATGAAATAAAATATTACTTTCTCAAACCCAACTTTGTTCACTGTCTTCTCTTGTACTATTGCTGTTAGAATTCTATAGTTAATATTAGCAAAAATACTCAGTGAACTGGTTTTAAAAATTATAAAATTTATTTTAATATTTGATTCCTCCTCCCCTCTCGGAGAGCCTGGCAAGCTACCGAGAGTATCTCACCTGCACGGCAAAAGCCTGGAATATGCCAAACACAGTAACAAGAAGTCTCAAAATGGAGACATTACTGGGTCCACTCGAGCAAATTGATGAACAAGGGGAGGACGGTGTTTGTTTTACTTTAATAAATAGTTATTTTCAGGGGGTAAAGGGCAGATTAGGTCACACATGGCAATGCTTAGGGCTTACTCCTTTTCTGTGCTCATGAGTGATTGCAATGGTACTCAGGAGTCAGATGGGGCACCAGAATGGAACAGTAGTTAGCAGTACACAAGGTAAGTTCCTTAGCCCTTTCTCTCTCATGGCTGTAAAACCATTATTTCCTATGCCATAATCAAATTTTCATTTTATTGAGTACATTAATAAAAAGCATGGTATTTAGTATTTTTCAGGGGGCACACCTGGTGATGCTCAGACTTATTTCTGGCTCTACACTCAGGAATGAATATTGGCAAGGCTTGGGGGACCCTATGGGATACCAGGGATTGAACCTGGGTCTGCTGCATGCAAGGCATGCACTCTACAAGCTGTACTATCACTCCAGCCCAAAGCCTGGTATTTTAAAATTGAGTGAAATTTAAAAGAACATCACCACGGATACTTCATACTCATTTGTTTTTCTTTTCTACTCATCAGCATCAGCACAGATTTTTTTTTATAAATTGTAACACGATGTGCCTTATGCTATTTGTTCACATATAGCAAGTTTTATTTAAAACATGCTTTAAAATTTTTTTCTTCCAATATAAGGGTAAGATAAGTAAAGTAAGTAAGTAAGTAAAGGCCCTCCCGTTAATCATCGATTTGCTCGAGCGGGCCCAGTAACGTCTCCGTTGGAGACTTTGTTGTTACTGTGTTTGGCATATCGAATACATCACGGGTAGCTTGCCAGGCTGTGCCATGCGGGCGAGATATTCTCGGTAGCTTGCCGGGCTCTCCGAGAGGGGCGGAGGAATCGAACTCGGGTCGGCCATGTTGGCTGCGTGCAGGGCAAACACCCTACCGCTGTGCTATCGCTCCAGCCCAATATAAGGGTAATCCAATATTTATTTTTAAGTAACATTTTTTTCTAACACCAAATCAATTCTATTGATATCTAATTTTTATAGTGTGCTCATAGCAAAGATACTCCTCTAGACATGAAACTCATTTTCCAATTCTGGTCAGAATTTTGTCTTGAATCATTTCTCAATAGATTTGATGATTAATTTAAATTTAATTTAATTTAATTTAATTTCTGAAGCAAAATTTATTGACGATATGTACTGGAGAGGCAGTGTAACATAGTTAAGTAAAAATTTATCAACGCAAGTGATAGAGGTTTATGTCTCTTACAAAGTTACTTGTTTTGAGAATAAGATTAATACCTGTAACTTCATTTTGCAAAGTATAAAGTGCTACGCCAGTATAAGCTAGTATCACATTATCTGAATTATTTTCAGTAGACTTTAAAAAGTTTTCTTTACTGGTTTTACTGTTTCTTATTTTGTAGACACTATTCATTTATGAAACAACTATTGATAGGCTACGAGACAAAAAAAAACCTCCATTGTTGTCTCTGCTTTGGAGAAAAGCCAAAATAAATAAAGGCCAAAAGAAAAGAAGGAAGAGAGACAGAGAGAGGGAGGGAGGGAAGAAGAAAAGGAGAGAGAGGGGGGAGAGAGAGAAAGAGAGAGGAGGGAGGGAAGGACAAAGGGACAGAGGAGGAAGCCAGCCAACAACAAAAAAAACCACCAAAGGGCTGAAGAGAGTAAAGTGAGTAGGGTGCCTGTTTTGCACGCACCTGACCCTGGTTTGATTTCTAGGACCTCATACGATACTCCAAGTCTCACCAAAAGGGATCTCTGAATGTAGAGCCAGGAGTAAGCCCCAAATCCAACAACTCAAATCCCAATAACCAATACTTATATAAGAGCAAGCACCAGGAATTTGTATGAGAAAGCAATTTCTATTTTACTGGATACTAGATATTACACAAAATTTTGAAGATTGTAGAACTATACTTAATCAGAAAATCAAAATTATCAATCACCAAATTTGAGCATTTTGGCTTCCCCTATTAATGCATGGTTTACATGTGTGATTTCACGTTCCTACTTAAAAATTTCCTAATACTTAAATTTTAATTATGGCAGGAAGTGACATTTGATGGTAACACAGAGAACAAGTTTACTATTTTTATAGTGTTCCCAATAAAACATCTATAACATCAATTTTTTTGTGGAGGGACTATGCTATATCCCTTTTCTAGACTAGTCAGAACTTGTCTAGACAAAAAAAAAAGCGACTATTTTCTGCTTTAATTTCCCCTTCCTTGATGGCTGGATCACTCAGGATGGAAGATGTGTGCTGAAAGTAGATAAAGGACCAAACATGATGGCTTCTCATTATCTGCATTGCAAACCATAATGTCCATAAGCAGAGAGTGTAAAAGGGATATTGTATGCCATAGAGGCAGGGGGGAGGGTGGGATAGGGGTAGGGGAAGAATACTGGGGACACTGGTGGTGGAAAATGTACACTGGTGAAGGGATGGGTGTCCTATCATCATATGAAACTCAAACATAAAAGTTCTGTAACAGTAAAAATATAATTTCCCCTTGAGGATGGATACCTTTTTTGACAAACTAATTATAGTGAACCGTACTGAATACATTTTAATTTAAAGCCAGAAAATGGGTAGATTTAGAAGGGGTTTTGACAACACAGTAATTCTCAATCAGGGGAGATTTTATGGCCCAGGGTCATTTTTGGTGAATAGCAGTCCTTGCAGCAGGGAAATAAAGTAGGGGTAAACAATAAACATCCTATAATACACAGGATATCCCCCCATCCTCCCCAACTTTCTATGAACAAAAGTAAATGTATACTTGAGCTAATGATTTAGGGGAAATCTCAAGAGTAAAAATACACTAGACTTCATATAAAGTTTGTTCTGGCTAGGATTGTAAAAATTTTCTGCCTGCTATACTAGAGTATTAAATATGTAATACCTCTCACCACTTTTCCTAGTATCTTAAAGGTACTGACTGCCAAGATGTCATATCATCTTAAAGGTCCTATCCTTCAAGTCCTATCCGTCAGCCAGCAGGTGGTGCTCAAAGCTAACAAAGTAAAGAAAGGACTCTAATAACAGTAGGACTTTTCAAACTGTGTGCTGTAATTTTACAAACTACATATACATGTATACACATATGTATGTGTACATATATACATATATATATATGCATGCACAATTCTCACAACAGAACTTGGTTACTCAAACTCTGGCCAATACTACAAATGAATGCTTAAGTTAAAGCAAAGATTGATGTCTCAAAGCGTCACTTTTACAGATCAATAATATACAGAAAACAAAACCACATTAAATGTAATTCTTTTTCTTAATTATATGTTCAACTTAATGGGTTCTAAAATAATTTAAAGACATTTAGTGGAGTGAATTTGGACACAATAATACACAAATAATTTTCACCCCTACTATTAAAATTTCTGACAAAAATGAATAACCTGATGACAAAAATAAAAGCTGGGAAATTTTTTTACCAATTTCTCCTCATAGAGCACTTCTTTCACAACCAATTTTGTTCAATTCCTAACCCCACATGAAGCACACTATTTCCTGAAACTGCAGTCATTAGTTGTATCAACACACACAAACACACAAAACTAAGTGAAAACCAAGAACTTTTAAGTAAATGTTTAGAGATCATTCTTTGGGAAAGAACTTCACCAAGAGTAAATAAACTTGTAAAGTTAAGCAAGAAAGAAGGCAAGAAAGCAAAAATGTGTATTCATGAAAAAGGGTATAAAGACCACAAGATTACAAATATATTAAGAGCTCCATGGGAAGAAGTTAGGAAATTGAATTATTAACAATCTTTAAAAAAGAAAATTAACGATCCTAAATTAAAGTACTAGATTCTTGACACAATTTTTTTCAAGTTGCAGAAATCAATTTTGTGTAGGGGGGTTGGGAGTGAGGGGTGTAACCAATAGTAGAGAAAGAATAAAGAAGAAAAATTAACATATTTTAAAAGAGTAATTGTCGGGGCTGGAGCCATAGCACAGTGGGTAGAGCGTCTGCTTTGCATGCAGATGCAGCAGACCCAGGTTTGGTTCCCAGCATCCCATATGGTCCCCCAAGCACTGCCAGGAGTAATTTCTGAGTGCAGAGCCAGGAGTAACCCCTGAGCATCGCCAGGTGTGACCCAAAAACAAACAGAAAAAGAGTAATTCTCAATACATTTTACAAGACATATCATCTCAACAACAAAAGCTGATTAAGGTGCTATGTTTCCAATAGGAGATACAAGGTTCTAGCACTACAGTTATGTCTTGCTACCTGAAAGAACACTCCAATGTGGTAGGTTGTTTGGAGGCCTGGGAACCTATTATAATTACCATGCACGGAAAAAAATTTTAAGCTTTCTAGGCCCAAAAATTAACCTACCAAATCATATCAAACAAAGGTGCTTTGGGATAATAGAGAAAATAAACCAAGAATATACTATAAGTACAACTTAAATTGGAAATCAATGACATCCCATTCTTAGGAAACATGTTATTTACCACTGAAAAAGCATTAGTTTATGTAAAATGCAGCATTGTTTTTAAAAAGAAAAATTAGTGAAATAAAAGTCTCATTTTCTGCTGCACTAAGTTAATTAGGTTTAAAGTGAATTTTTTTTAAGTCATAAACTTTTATAAAAAAGTTTACAAGGGGCTGGAGAGAGAGTACAGTGGGTAGGGCATTTGCTTGCACGCAGCCAACCCAGGTTCAATCCCCAGCATCCCATATGGTCCCCTGAGCACCTCCAGGTGTAACTCCTGAGTGCAGAGCCAGGAGTAACCCCTGTGCATCGCCAGGTGTGACCCAAAAAGCAAAAATAAAATAAAATAAAAGTTTACAAAATTGGGAAGTAATGAGGGGTAGGGAAACGAGGGACACTGGTGGCGGGAAATGAAGGGAAGGGTGTTAGAACTTTGACTGAAACCCATTTATAAAAAACTTTGTAACTGTGAAAAAAATTAGGACAATAAATTTTAAAAAAGTGAAATATTAGTCACTGCCACTGAAATAAGGAGTAAGGGGCTCTCCTTATCATCTATAAATAATAATTAGTTAATAATAATAAGTTCTTTTAAATTTGTAAAAAAGAGAAAGTCCAAATAGATGGCTAAGAGTTTTAAAAGAAATTGTAAAAGCCAATGACAAACATGAACTTCAAAAAAGTTTTAAAAAGGGAACCAGAGCACAGTTACTAAGGCACCTCCCTTGTAGAGGCTAACCTAGGTTCAATACTTAAGTGCAGAGCCAGGAGTAATACTTAAGTACCACTGTGTGGTTAAAGAATTTTTTTTTAATAAACAAAAACTTAACAAGCACACTGAGATAGTGGAATATTTTTCAGTGGCTATGGGTCTTTCACCTTGTCTGTCCACTTATAGCAATTTATTTCAAGAAATTAACATAAAAGATATTACTTAATTATATTAATAGTGTTTAAATAACTGTACAATTTATTCTATAATCATATTGAAAGCTATCTTGAAATTATCTTTGGAATAATATATTACTATACTAAGCGAAGGATGCAGAGGATAAAATACTATTCTATTCCATGGCTTGATTTCCACAAAACATTACCTACCTAAATGCACCACGTGCATACAAACAACGTAGACAAGCACACATACACTGAAGGTTTAACCGAGGTCTCGGGGAATGGGGCTAAAATCCTTATTTTCTGGCCTGGATCACTTTCAGTGAGCTAACAAGCTACTTTTTCTGTTTTTTTTGTTTGTTTGTTCAGTTTCGTTTTTTTTGCTTGTTTGTTTTGGGCCACTGTGTCTGGCATATGGAATACTCTCGGTAGCTTGCCAGGCTCTCCGAGAGGGGCGGAGGAATCGAACTCGGGTCGGCCATGTTGGCCGCTTGTAAGGTGAACGCCCTACCGCTGTGCTATCGCTCCTCCTGTGGGGCTCAGGGCTTACTCCCAGTGGACTGCTGGGGCCATTGGAGGTTCTGGGGATCGAACCTGGGTCCGCGGGCTGCAAGGCAATTGCTCTGTCTGCTGTATGGCTCTGGCCTCTTGGGTCTGGAGCAATGGTACAGCAGGAAGGGCACTCGCCTTGCATGCTCAGGGATCAGGCCTGGCTCTGCACTTAGGGACTGAACACGGGTCAGCCTCCTGCAAACCCATGAGTGATCCCTGAGTACCACTGGGTGTGGCCCTCAAACCAAAATAAATACTAAATCAATCAATCAATCAATCAGCACATGTCCCCTTTTTACCTGTAGAAAACAAGAAGAAAAATCATTATTACAAAAAAAAAATCGCAGCAACTCGAGTCCTTCTAAACATGACTACCACGAGTTGGTTAGGACAAACGCCTTTTCCTACGGAGAAACCCCCCATGCAGTGTCTATAACGCGCCCCCCCATCTCTCTCCACCCCCCTCCCCCCCCGCAGCACCCGGTGCCTCTTTTGAAACGGGAGAGAAGCAGCCCGAGGCCACGTGGGTCCGAGAAAGAAACGCACCTGCTTTTCCGCGTGGCCGACCCACTCGCCCCTCCCGGGGGGGAGGTGTCCCCTGCAACCCACTACACGTCTCCCCAGCCACGGGGGGCCTGGAGCCGACAGTTTCGGGGGTCCCCAACTTCCACCCTGCGCCCAGCCACTGGCCGAGCCCGGGAGGCAAGGGGGTGGGGGTGGGAGTGGGGGAAGGGCCCCCACCTCGCCCTCTTGCCCCGCACCCGGGGGGCACCCCGACCCCCAGGGCCCCCTGAAACCCCAAGGTGGGGGGTCGGCTCCGAGAGGAAACCCGGGCTAACGGGTCGCCGCGACCCTCGCCGCCACCAAGGCCCGTCGCCATGTCGCGAAGGCCGCGCAGCCTCGGCTCCATTTTCGGGCGGGAAAGAGGCGCCCAGTGGGGGCGGGGCAGGGTGGGGCCGCCCCCTCCCCCAAATGTCCGAGGGGGCCCGCGAACCCCCCCCCCACCCCGTTCTTCGGTTCCCGAAGTGCGAAAGCCGCGGGCCTTTGCACGTGGTGGGCCTGCGGGCGCGCCAGGCCCTGTAGGCCGCGGCGGACCCGGTGGGGGTCGCCGTTGCTGCCCTCCCCAGCCCAGCCCAGCCCCTCCGGGGTCCACATCCCGCCCCGAACCAAAGGTGAGACCCCGAGAAGGCGGCAGTGGCCGCCTCGGCCCCCGGGCCTCTCCGCACTCACCATGATGGCGGCGCCGCCGGGCTCGAGGAGCGGAGGAGGCTGCGCTTCGGTCACCGCTGCGGGGGCTGCTGCGTGGCCCGCCCGTGCCTGCTGCGGCCCGCTGGGGGGAAGGGGGCAGAGGGGAGCAACGTCAGGCGGGACGTGGGGGGTTTGGGGAGGACGAGCGGACAGCCGAGGGCGGGGGGGGCAGAGAGGCGTGGAGGCGACCGGCCGGGCCGAGGGGCGCAGGCGGACTGAGTCGGGCGCGGGACTGGGGCACGTGGTGGGCCGGCAGCCAATGGGTGGCGCGGGGGGACGCGCAGAGGGGGGTACGCTCAGAGCGATGCCACGGCCCGGAGGCCCCATCTCATGCCGGGCCGCCCGAACCCCCCCATACCACCCGTGGGACCCCTCCACCCCCCCTCAAAGCACCGTTTTTGGCGCATGTCAGAAAGCTCCAAACTTCAAGGAAGACGGGCCACGCCTGCGCAGGATGGGTGGTGGGGGTGGGGAATTAATTTTTAATGTGTTTGGGCGCTGGCTTCAAAATGGCGCCGGGAAGCACGAGGCCATAGCCCGTCGAGGCCCTTGGGGTCGCACCTCACTGCCCCTCCCTCCCTCCCTGGCCACTGCTATAAGGAAATGAGAATGGAAAGGAAATCTGTCCGCTGAGACGGGTTTCAGCAGGGGGCCGGGCCCCCTGGGGGTCCAGGCGGAGGGGGAGGTGGCGGCCCCGGCTCAGGTTGTTGAGTCTCTCGATGGACGTGGGCCCCCACCCCCGGGCGCTGGCTTAATGCTCGGAGCTCCCACCGAGGGGACGCAGAGGCCAGGCGTGGGGCAAATGCGTGGCTTTCTGGCGCGCCAGTTCAAAGGTTTTTTTTAAGAGGAACGTTGCTCTTCCTCGGCCCTGCTGGAAGGTGCTAGGCCGTCCTAGAGAATTCTAGAACATTCTCACAGTCCGGGAACCAGGGATGGGGGCGGGGTAGGGGGTGGGGGGCGGACCTGGAACTGGGCCAGCCCGGGAGGCGGTTGGTTGGTTGGTTGGTTGGTTGGTGGCGCTGAAAGTGTCCCCATGACTTTCACTTTCGGGGTATAGACTTAAGGGGTATAGACTTAAGTTCTTGCCAGGCTGGGTTCCCTTTTCATCTTCGGAGTGGACGTGGTTGAGGATGGAAATTAAATAAATAAATAAATAAAGCAAGTGATGACGTGTTTCTTGGCGGGCTGGGAAAAAATGGGAAACTGGGAAAACTTGGAAGATCTCTTCTGTAGTCCCTAGCTTTGCTGTTAAAATAATAATCACTCAAATTGAATACTTTTTTAAAGAATATGTGACAGTTATTTTCATTAGAAAAAAATTTTTTTCTATTTTTTTTTCTATTTGGGGGCCACACTCCTGGCTGGCACTGTTCAGTACGCTTCTGGGGAACTATATGGGATGCGGGGATCGAACCCGGTTCACTGTGTGCAAGGCTAAGGGCTCTCTACCCGTGGTATTCTCTCTCTAGTCCTTCGGCAGTTTATTTTTAATCCCCAGCTCAAGCCACAAGAAATGAAGGAACATCTCAAGAAAGAAAATTAAGAAGCCTGGGGCTGGAGAAGATAGTATAGTGGGTAGGGTGTTTGCCTTGCATGGGGCTGACCCGGGTTCGAGTCCCAGCATCCGCTTTGGTTCCTGAGCACAGATAGGGGTTAATTCCTGAGTGCAGAGCCAGGAGAAACCCCTGTGCATCACCGGGTGTGACCCAAAAGGCAAATAAATAAAAAGGAAAAAGAAAAATTAAGAGGCCAGAGGGAGTAATAGCACAGCTGATAGAGTGTTTGCTGTGCCACCTGGGTTCGATCCCCGGCACCAAATACGATCTCCAGAGCCCGCTCAGATCCACCTGCAGTGATTGCTGAGCACAAAGCCAGGAGTAAGCTCTTAAATTTCAACGGGTGTGTCCCCCAACTCCCAAACCCTCCCCCACCCAACAACAACAACAAAAGAAAATTTTAATTAAAAACTAGACAAGTGATTTTTTTTTTAAACTGACTTTTCTCTGGCCCATAATACAAGGGCTGGAGTCCAAGGTAACTAATCATACTACTATTTGCCCTGAGCTTTAGTGGTTTTAGTTCTGAAAACCCCCACTCCCCTGGAAACAACTTCTCAAGACGGGACAATTGGTCATCTGAGATGAGTGAAACTTGATGCCTGGGGATAGAGGGCAGGAGGTGAAGTAACTGAAAGGTGTGACCTGAAACTGAGAACTTCAAAGTCTTTTCGCCCCTGAAAGGCATCCCCAGGGAAAGGGAGGAGAGGAGAGAAAACACCCCGTAGACAAACGAAGAAGTTTGTTTCATTTCTAGATGGAAAAAAAAGAAAAACCAAACAAACGTAAAATCGTGAAGCCCTAGCCTTGCATTTCAGCAGTTTTGGAGATTAAACATACAGGTCTATTGCTTAGTGTTGCTGGGCTCTCAATATCTAGAAATCGATTTCCCCAAGTTCACCTGCTCCCTGAAAAAATCCTGGACAATGTGCTTCTGGAATGCCTCGAAGAAGCAAAACTTCGACCAGGAAGGAGGGATGCTTTCATAAAAACGAAATAATTTTCTCTTAAGAAAAGGACCATGTGATAGTACAGCAGGTAGGGTGCTTGCCTTGTGCATGACCAACCCAGGTTCCATCCCTGATATACCATTTGATCCTCTGAGCCACACCAGAAGTTATCCCTGAGTGCAGAGCCAGGAGTAATCCCTGAGTACTGTCAGGTGTGGCCCCAAAATTAAATACATAAATAAGCTAACAAAAAAAAACAACAGCTATCCTACCCAACAATTCTTTCAACTGCAGTGGGGGACCAGAGAGCGAGTACACTGAATATGGCATTTGGCTTGCACAGCTGACCCCGTTATGGTGCCCCGAGTCTGCCAGGAGTGATCCCCGAGTGCAGAGTCAGGAGTAAGCTTTGAGAACAGCTGGCTGTGGTCCCCAAATACAGTAACAACAACAAATTAAAAAAAACAAGGAAAGGACCCTTTAGAGATAAGTCCATGACAAAAAAAAATTATAAATGCTAATTACAATGAATGAAAATGGCAAACAGCAAAGAACTTAAAATTTCCAAAACTTGAAGAAACTTTTGGAACTCTTTTTTGGAGTGTGTGTTTTGGAGTTTCTCACATCTCCTCTCACCAACTTATTTGAAGTGATCCACTCTATTGTTTTTAGGGATTTTTTTTGCATTTTAACGTGAAAACTTAAAGTCTAAACCTAGTATCTTCACTTTCTTCTGGAAAATTCTAAGGACTTGGAATGTATTAATTTTTAATGCCCCTTTCCCAACTTACAGTTATTATTGTAATTTATTTATTTCTGTCTCCTATAAATTAGACATTACTGTTTTATACTCACCTACATAATATAAAAAATTTTGCTTACCATTTCATTGCCTATGTTATATCTTCCTTTTTGGTTTCTTTTTTTACACCTGAAATCAATTCTATATTATTTTCTTTAGTGAGAGAATGTATGATATGGTAAATTCTTAGAACGTGATGTACTTCCCTACAATACATTTATTTTGCCCTTTTTCATTAAAGAAAATTCTAATGGATATATATGTATAATTCTAGTATCACAGCTATCTTTTTGCCTCAGGACATAGAACATATTTTGTTATCTTTTGTGTTTTGTTGCTACTGAGATATCTGTTGTCTAGTTGCTGATGGAGATCTAGTTTTCTTTGGTAATCTCAAGTTTTCCAGCAATGTGCTATGTGTTCAATTTTAAAATTTTCTTCTGCTTAGGAGTTTTGGACTCTGAATTTGTGGACTAGCTGTCAACAATTCTAAAAGATTTAATTCATTTTTTTTCTAAAAGATTGGCTAAGAAAGTGCAATTTTTGTATTTTATATTCAATAAGAATTTTATAGTTATTTTTATTTAGATCATGACTTTTTTAAAGGCTGGTGGTATTTTTCAGTAAATTTTTTGAGCACTTTCCTTAACAAAGAAAAATTGTTACTTAAGATCAAAATTGATTGTATCCATCGAAGATTGGTAGCATAATTCATAGCAATTCAGAAATGAATCTATTGTTTCCTTATTCTCCGGAGACTGATAAGAAAGAGAAAGAAAAAGATTGCCTTTTCAGGGGCAGGAGATTTTAGGTCACACCCGGCAATGCTCAGGGGTTACTCCTGTCTCTGCACTCAGGAATACTACTTGCAGTGCTCAAGATATCAGGGTCAGCTGTGTTCGAGGCAAAAGCTGTACTACCTGCTGTACTAACGCTCCAGTCCCCCTAGAAAAATGCTATTTTAAGTCCTTCTGCCAGTTCCTTTTGTGCTTCTGAAGACGGGAACTTTAGCAAGCATGCGTTTGTTTAATATTAACACTCCTAAACTTCAGCTGGAGGAAGCTTTTCATATAGACACTCTCAAGTCTTTATTCATTTTTACCTACTTTTGATCTGTATTTTACTGTTTACATGCATGTGTGCAGATATGTGTATGGCCATGCCATGCTGGGGATCAAACTCGGAGGCTTGGAGTTGGAAAACAGTATTGAGGTTAGAGTACTTGCTCCATGTGGGTTTGAATCCAGGTTTATATGGTCCCTGAGCACTGCTGCCTGTATCCCTGGTAGCCCTAAAGGCCCCCAGCATCCCTGGGATGGTCAAGGTATCTTCAGCACTACAGGGCCAGAGCAGCAATGCACTCTTGGGCCCTTGCATGGTGTCCTAGATGGCTGAAAATTGCTAATCAGGCTCATGTCTCCTGAGCACCTCTTGGGACGCCTTCCTATTCCAATCCCACCAGCCCTGCTACCACCCGCCAAAACTAAAACCAGAACCAGAGCTTCCTATCTGCAAAGTATGTGCCGTATTGTAGAGCTACATCTTTCTCCCTCCTCCCTACATAATTTCGGTTGGAGTTTTGGCAAGGAAAGGTAGAAGGGAAGCATACCTGGTGATGTTTTGCTGGATTTTTGCTCCTGGCAGTGGCTGGGGCACCCTGAGGTGCTAGGCTCAAAACTAGGACTCCTGTGTACAAAGCCTGTGCTCCAGCCCTTTGTGCCATCCCCCTGCCTAGCCTATCTAAACTTAAGTGACTAGCTCATTATTCTGGTAATCAGTAATATTTATGAATTTTACACTCTGTTAATTACATTTTAAGCAATACTCATTAAAATAAATATGTCGCTACTACAAGTTACTCGTTTTTGTGAATATTTATTTTTGTTGCTCTCAGTGTGTGCTCCGTTGCTGAACCACATCCCCAGCCCCATAGCTATTATAATTTAAAACAATAATTGAACATGTATTACTTCAGATCACATTCTCCTAGGGCAGCAGGTAGTAGTCTGGAAAATACTG